TACTACTACCACTACTACTACTAACTACTACTACTACTACTACTACTACTACTACTACTACTACTAGCTACTACTGCTACTGATACTGCTACCGCAACTGTTACTGCGCTTGTTGCTGCTACTGCTACCATTATGTGGGGCACCTCTTACCCCCAAAACAGCCGGTCGCCAAAGCAAAACCCGGTTTTGCGCTGTCTAACGTACTTTTATTCGGTAAGCAAAACCCTGCAAAATCCATCTTACCAACTACTGGCTTAGATAACCCATGAACACAACGCAAATGAACCCTGAAGCCCGTAAAACCTCCCTTAGCCTCCAGCTGCTAGGGCCGCTGAGCACTATAGTGCTTACTGCCATTCATTCGTTCATTCGATATATGGATATACGAGCACTTATGCGACGTTATGCGGCTCCTGCTATTGCTGCCACTGCTATATAAGCCTCTCGGACCCTTTGGAACGAATATATGGGAGTTGCCGCAAATTAGGGTACCCTATTTTGGGGTCTTTATATTTATAATAAGGATCCTACTATTTAGGGTACTATATTCGGGTCCCCTATGTTCTGAAACCCCCATATGGGCCGGAACAATTCCCAAGAACTCATGTTCGGGCTCTGTAGCAGATGCAGACCCCCCGAAACCCATTCTACTCCATAGGCCCTAAAGTAGTTCCTTTTTGTGGGTTTCTATGGAGGATCCTATTAGGGAATCCCAAAAAGGAACTACTATGGGGCCTGTGGGTAGTTATTACGGCTTTAGATATCACACGCAGCATTCAGCGCCCAAGTTTAAGTCAAGCTGGTTTATCGGCCCACCTTCTCCCCACACTTACGACATGGCGAAGAACGCGGAGGCACAGCAAGGGCTTCACAACTCACAAGACTCAACGTAAATCCGAAATTAATCCCATAACCTGAGCCCCGTAAGCCCATAACCTGAGCCCCAAAGCCCTTAAACCACAAACCTGACGGGAACCCCGAGCCTCGAACTCCGCTGCTGAGCTTTCAGTTTCATCTCGGGACCTTCTGATGCCTGAGGCTCGAAGGATCTACGTCTTTTGGAGTTTCGGGTTTAAGGGTTTGGCCTTTAAAGGAACCCTGAACAGCCACCTCCTGAAGGATTATGCTTAAAGGAACCCATCAAAAGAGCCCCTTAAGCAGCCTTACGGCTTTCTTTTAAGGCTTTCTTGGCCAAAGTTACGCACTACAGAGACGGTAACGCCGGTTTTAAGACTTTGCAAAGTGTTTTCTAAAGAGAAACGCGTATGGAACACAGATTAAGACGACCCTGAAAGAAACTTGACAAAGGAACTCTTATAGAATTCACTGTGCTGCAGGAAAAGAACAGCCTTCAGCAAGATCGTTACAAAGCGATTTTAGAGTCTTTCTTTAAAGCACTTTTTGAATCTGTTTAAAGCCCTCCTCAGACCCCTATACTACAGTTCATATAGGGGCCTAAATAGTTACCGCTACTATTTTGGGGGCTCCTTATTGTAATTATAGTATAATATACCCCAAAACCCTATTCTAATTATAATTAGAGTAGGGTTTTGGGGTATATTATACGAGGCGCAAGCGCCGAACACCTGGAGGCTCCGAAGCCCTGAACGGCCCGACGACACCCGAAACACCACCTTGGGGATTTTGGGTTTAGGGTTTAGGGTTTAAGGTTTAGGGTTAACCCACCGAAACCTAGCTTTTTTGTAGGGTCCCTATTAAAACATCTCTTTTCGGGTTTATACTAAGAGCCTACAAGAAAGTAGGTTATGGTAGGTTCCGGGCAGCCCTTCACTTCCACCCTAACCTCCCCACGTCGTCGAGGCGTCCTCAACCACCGTCCATGCCACGCTGTCCCCTAAGGGTCCATGCACCTATAATATCTTTTGGCCCTAAAGTACCTGTACAGGAACCACTTTAAGGCCCAAGCGTATACTATCTGGGTACATGGACCGCGGCACAACCCGCGTGGAAGATCGAGAAGCCTCCGTAGTCATGATAACCCTGTTAGTCGCCCCCTTAAATCCCCTAAAGGATCCCATTCTAGTGCCCCCAGAAGGGCCTTTAAAGCCGCAACAGACAGCCCCGGAGTCAATTGCTATGCCCAACCCGGGGAGCCCATAATTACCCCTTAACTGAGGAATATACCTTGAATAATAATTTTAAGGCCCCCATAATTTACAGGTATCTTCCTTAATCAAGGAGTATTGGGCTTTGTGGGAATAGCTTGCTGTAACACATTTGATGTAATTACTCCTTTTCTTGGGACAAAGCCTGTAGAACTCCCTCTTCGAACCCCAAAGGAAAGGAGACTTTTAACACTCTTATCGCTTACAGCTAAGTCCCCGAGCCCTGAACCCTGAACCCATGAAAGGAACCCGAAGCCCGTCTAAAGCTTCAAGGTACTCTCAAAACCATCATTGAACCTTACAATTATAACACCTTAAAAAAGCCAAAACCCCATGAACACCTGGTGTGAAGCACATACAACAGCAAAAAGAGTGAAGACCCTTTGTAGTAGCCCGTAGAGTCAAGTTTCTTAACCCCCTTAAAGGAACCCTCATCCCCTTAAAGGATCCCTTCTGCTAGTGCCCCTAGTAGAAGACACCCCGAAACCTTAAACCCTTAACCCTAAACCCGAGACCCTAAACCCTTAGAAGAGACCCTGAAAGCCAGATCGCCGAGCCCTCCATGAAGCTGAAGATGTTGGCCTTCTTGGCGCGGTGCTCCAAGAAGCTCGGTGGGACCTTCCCTAAACCCTAAACCCCTAAACCCAAAACCTGTAAGGGCTCCCTTCAAGGGTTCGAGAAGGGCTCTTTACAGGAGTCTTCAAAAAGGTTTTTTTTTAGAGTTCCAGAAGAGGTTCCCTTAAAAGGGGTCCTCAAAGAGGTCCTTAAAGGTTTAAAGGGGGTCCTTAGAGGGTCCGCTGCTTTGATCTGTTATTTGGTTTTGGGGTTCAGGGTTGGGTTGAGGGTTCGGTTCAGGGTTTCGAAGTTCTAGACCCCATAGCCTGTCTACGGGCTTTATAGGGTTCTACAGGGTCTTTCTACCTATCTATATCTGTCTGTCTGTCTATCTATCTATCTCTCAATCGAGTTGTATACAGCTTTGTATGTATATAAGTATACACAGATAGGTTTACGGATATATACAGATATTTTCGGATACATACATACATGCATACATGCATACCTGCATACCTGCATACTTGCATACATTTATACATGCATACATACACGCATACACATAAACTTCACATACACATACACATGCCTATACATATACACGGTTGTATACCTATACATGTACAGGTACATATACATATATATATATATACACACATACATACATAAACATGCAAAAACATAAAATTATAAACATGTACATGCATACATATACATACTTACCAAGCATACCACACTATACCATACCATACCATACCATACCATACCGTACCAAACCAAACCATACCATACCATACCATACCATACCGTACC